TTGCCAGTGTATGTCTACATACTGATTACCTATGACATCAGTACCCTACTCAATCATCAGTAAGTACAAGCAAGTCCTGGCTTTCTCTAAAGAGACTGATTACATCTTTCCATTGACTGAAAAGATCAAGATCATTTTGGCTGACCCATCCACACCTATGGCCACGAGCCTGAGGCCATCTATAGCACTGCAGCCTCCGATGTTGCTGCTGCTGCTACTAATAATAAATTTGCACCCCTCCAACTTGATGCAAAGAAAGAGTTAAAGGGTTGGGAAAAGATGGAATTTGTCCTCTCTGAGTAATCACCAAAAAGAAGCCAATTCAGCCAGCTTCTCTTGTGAAACGAAAAATAAAGACTTCTCTCTTAGAAAAATAATGGCCAAATATTTACCAAATTTACCATAAACACAAACCCAAGAACTTCTGAACCTCAAGTAAAAGAAATATTAAAACTACACCAGGTTGGGGTTCAGCTCAGAGGTACAGCACTTGTGTAGTATGCATGAGGCTTTGGATTTGATTCCCAACACCTTAAAAACAATACACTAAGGCAAGTCAACATTAAGTTGCTCAAAACAAGAGAGGAAAAAAAATTGTAAAACACATGGAAAGATAAGAAATTACATAAAAAGAAACAAAGATAAGCCTCAACTCATCAAATAAAATCTCATATCACAAGGTGCTCTATAAATATATATAATATTATGTGTCAATTTTTAAAATAACAAAAAAATAGGAGAAATATCAGAAGCAACCACATGCTTAAAGAAAGGGAAAAGATCACTTGCTCCTCCTGAACTCTGGAATGACAGTTTTATGGTGAATTCTAGGAAACCAAGGCCTTAAGTCATTTCCAGATGATGAGTCTCAGGTATGAGCATCACAGTATTAGCATCTGAAAATGATTTGATGTTTTCCTATGTATACCTACAGCATTTGTGTTTGGTGCTTTTTTAGCTTTCTAGGAAGATAGAGAACATTTTATAACTGCAAATCAGGAAACAGACTCAAGAGAATTAAGTGACTTTTCCAAAGTCACACAGCCAACATGTTGCAGAAGCATAGCTATAACCTCAATTACACTACGCTGATACCAGATTCTGTAAAATGCCTAAGTATCAGCCTGGTGTAGTGTTTCATGCCTGTAATCCCAGCAACCCAGGAGGCTGAGACTGGAGGATCATAAATTTAAGGCCAGCCTCAGCAATTTAGCAAGACTGTGTCTCAAAATAAAAAATATCAGCTGGGCATGGTGGGGCACGCCTGCACTTCCAGAGGCTTGGGAGGCTGATACGGGAGAAATGCGAGTTCAAAGCCAGCCTCAGCAAAAAAATGAAGAGCTAAGCAACTCAATGAGACCCTGTCTCTAAATAAAAATCCAAAATAGGGCTGGAGACGTGGCTCAGTGGTCAAGTGCCTCTGAGTTCAATCCTCATTACCCAAAAAAACAAATAAATAAATACATAAACAAATAAATAAATAAATAAAATAAAAAACATGGGGATGTAACTCAGTGGTAAAACTCCCAAATTCAATCCCCAATAACAAAGAAATGAAAATAAGAAAGAAAATATTAAGTATTGGCAAGGATGTGGAAGAACTGGAATACTTGTTCAGTATTGGTAAGAATGAAAAATTTCACAGGTGCTGTGAAAAACTTTCTGGTGGTTTGTAATTAGGATTACCACCCAAAATTAGAATTACTGCTGGGCATTGTGGTATCTGCCTGTAAATCCCAGCTACTTGGGAGGCTAAAGGAGGAGAATCACAAGGACAACTTGGCAAGACCCTGTCTCAAAATAAAAAATAAAATAAGCTGGGGCTGTAGCTCAGTAGTACAGCATTTGCCTGGCATGTACAAGGTCCTGGGTTTAATCCCCAGTAGTGCAGGGGGAAAAAATTAGAATTATCACAATTCAGCACTTGTAGTTGGGGGTACATACCCAAAAGAATTGGATATGTACACCTAACTTCATAGCAGCATTATTCATAATAACCAAAAGGTAGAAATCATCCAAATGTCCATGAATGTATGTATGTTATAGCATGGGTCAAAATGGGTAGGTATGTTATAGCATGGGTCCTTTTATAAGGCTAAATAATGCTTCTCTCTCTCTCTCTCTCTCTCTCTCTGTGTGTGTGTGTGTGTGTACACAGAGGAATGTCTGTGTGTGTGTACAGAGGAATATTACTTGCCTTAGGAAGAAATTTCTGATCCACAATACAACATAAATTAACTCTGAGGGCATTATGCTGCCAAAAATAAAAATAAGCCAGTTGCAAAAGACAAATACTGGGACTGGGGTTGTGGCTCAGTGGTAGAATGCTCGCCTAGCATGCACGAGGCACTGGGTTTGATCCTTAGCACCACATATATTGTGTTCACCTAAAAAACTAAAAAATAAATATTTAAAAAAGATAAATACTATATGATTTCATTTATATGCAATACCTAAAGTCATCAAATACAGAGGCAGAATATAGAACAGTAGATGCCAGTGGCTGAAGGGAGGAAGAAAGGGTAAGTATTGTTTAACGCATACAAGTTTGAGTCTGGTAAGATAAAAAAGTTCTGGATATAGATGGTGGTAGTAGTTGTGTTATGGGCCAGGCTATTTGGGTAATGACCAAACAGACTCCCATTTTACCCTGAGACTCCATATCATGTAAGAAATGCTTCTCCCATGGGAAAGTCCCACCTCTGTACCCATTAATAGTTACCTAGCATAGCACACTTGGCAACATAAAACAGCAATTCTTACACAATGTAAAATTGTTCTCTCTTTGGTTCCCATGTTTCTTGGGCAATGTACCTTGTCAGAAATTTATTGTCTACATGTTAGTAACCATTCTCTAACTTGTACTCAACTAGGGTCATTTTGACCCGCCCCCCTTCCCTTCTGCTTGCTTGCCGCTATGCCAACCTGGAAAGTCCTATGGAAAGTACCAATGTACTCATTACATTGTCTCATTAACTGTCCAGTTCAGCTTCTATATCTACTTGCTTGTAGCTACATCAACCCAGATGTGTTCTTTGCAGTTTTTGCCTTTAAATATCCTAAAATGCTCAGGCTCGGGGCTGTTTTCTGCAGAGACAACTTGGTCCTGTAGGAAGCAGTCCTGGCAGGTCAAAATAAAGACCCTTTAATTTGGACAAAACTGGGACTTAATGTATTTTTCTGAGCGACCTGCCCCACAATAGTTGCACATATGAGCTGTACTGTACAATGAAAATGGTTAAAATGGCAAATTCTATGTTATGTATATTTTCCTCGAAACAGGAATTTCTTAAATATCTAGATATATCATTGACAGGTTCCAGGTAGAAGATACTATCAACATGGAATTGGCACTGCCTTACCTGCAGCAAAAACATGCAAGAACAGTTTAAGCAAAGAAAAGGAAGTGACCTAGGTTTTATGCTTTTTTTTTTTTCTAAAGGAAATCTTTAACAGAATCACTTCGCATTCTTCAAAATACCAAACAAATTTTATTAATGGCCCACAGGGGAGAAAACAAACAAACAAACAAAAAGGGACTCTACAGGCTCATTTCATAATAAGATTAGGTGTTCTGCTGAAAAAACACAAAGTGAGTTCCAGCCGGAGAAATGAAAAAGCCTGTGTCTTAGCTTTTAAAGCATCTTGTGCTAATAAAACCCAATAAGAAAAAAAAAAAAAGCTATAATTGAATCAGAATTAGCACCACTAACAAAATAAAAAGGGCAACATCCTTTTCACTACTCCATAAATTTTGGTGATATATGAGTTCATATATCAATATTACCAAGTACCTTCTTAGCATAAAGCACTTGTGAGGGTTCAGTAAGACATGCTCCCTGCTCTTCAGTGTCATACAATACCCTTCAAAACAAACTCTTCAACTCCCTACCCTTGCATACTACTTCAGTTTTTTGCCAGGAATCACTAAAAGATTCTTTTTCTTTTTTTTTTGGTACCGAAAATTGAATTCAGGGGCAACTTTTGTATTTTATTTGGAGACAGGGTCCCACTGAGTTGCTTAGGGCCTTGCTAAGTTGCAGAGGCTGGCTTTGAACTTGTGGTCCTCCTGCCTCAGCCTCCTGAGCTCTGGGACTACAGGTGTGCACCACCACATCCAGCTTAAGATAGCTACCTTTTTCTTCCTCTCCTAAAGCTACCTTGGAATTCCTCTTTTATAGCACTTTTCACAATCTCTAATTAACATTACTACTATACCATGTGATTAAGATTACTACTTATTATTACAAGGTAAGCATCCCTAGTCTAAAAATCTGAATCTGAAATGCCCAAAATCCAAAACATTTATTTGTTTGTTTGTTCATTTATTTTAATTTTTTTAGTTGCACATGGATGCAATACCTTTATTTATTTATTTTTATGTGGTGCTGAGGATTGAACCTAGTGCCTTACATGGGCTAGGCAAGCACTCTACCACTGTGTTACGAAACAGTTTTATTTATTTATTTATTTATTTTGGTGGTGCTGGGGATAGAACTTAGGGCCTTGTGCATATGAGGCAAGCACTCTATTAACTGAGCTATATCCCCAGCCTCCCCCAAAACATTTTTAATGTTTAAGTTCTGAATACTTCTGATTCCATATTTTCAGATTAGGGACACTCAACCAATAGATATGCAAAATTGAAAAAAAACTCAGAGCTAAATAAAGCTCTTTTCTTCATAAAATAAAACAAAAACCTCCAAAATTTGAAAATTTTCTGGTCCCAAACATTTCAGACAAGGGATACTCACCCCATATTATTTTCTCCCATGCACAATCAGAATGTGAACTCCATAAGTAATGAAATCATCTCTGTATTCTTCACTGCTGCACCCTCAGTGACTATCACAGTATATGACCACCAGAGGCACTCAAATACTTAATGAATAAATGGAAGGAAGAATTGTAACTTGGGATAAGTTTCCTGATGACAGTACTGCCTCAGGCTAGTTAATCCTTAGTACCCAGATCTGGCTGCTTTAGTTGTGGGTACTTACCTCTACCTCAGTAACAATGATGACCAGCACTACCACCATCAGCACTGCAAGCAGACAGCAAAAAATCCGCAGTTTGAAGAAATTGGTCCACATTGTCTGGCTGTGTCCTGATCACCCATGGCCGACATCATAATACCTTCACTCCTCAAAACTCATGTCTTTGTTTTTCTGAGCTGCAAATGAGCTCTCAATGTAATTTGCTTCTATCCTGTTAGTAGCCTTAAGAGCTCTTTGTGTAGAGGAGAGACTGCAGTTGATTCAAGAAGCATATTTTTCTTCAACAAACTCCTTCAAATAGAAGAAATAAAGAATACATCACCAATTGCAATATCCTGGAGTGGAGTAAAAGAAAAAACAGATTTCCTTTTCCTGAACCTTATCTAAGGCCCAAAATCACAAGAAGAGAGCAAAGAGCCAGAGCACAGTAATATTCCAATTACCAACAATCATCCCCGTTTCCTATCCCAACTCTAGGCTGTAACATTTGCCCTACTACCTTTTTAGGTTTTAACTTTTAGGAGAGCAAAAATGAATGTATTCAAACTCAGAAACTGCAAAATAAAATTTTTTAAATTTAAATTTTATAATTGTTAAATATGTGTTATGGGCCAGGCTATATGGGCAATATAGCCAAACAGACTCCATTTTACCCTGAGACTTCATATCATGTAAGAAATGCTTCTTCCATGGGAAAGCCCCACCTCTGTACCCATTAATAGTTACCTAGCATAACACACTTGGAAACACAAAATAGCAATTCTTATACAATGTAAAATTGTTCTCTTTGCTTTCCATGTGTCTTGGGAAATGTACCTTGTCAGAGATTGATTGTCTACATGTTAGTAACCATTCTCTAACTTGTACTCAACTAGGGTCATTTTGACCCCCTTCCCTTCTGCTTGCTTGCTGCTGTGCCAAACTGGAAAGTCCTATGGGAAGTACCAGTGTACCCACTGCATTGTCTCACTAACTGCCCAATTCAGCTTCTGTACCTGCTTGCTTGCAGTTACGTCAACCCAGGTGTGATTTTTTGCCTTTAAATATCCTAAAGTGCTCAGGCTTGGGGTTGTTCCTTGCAGAGGCAGTTATGGGTCCTACAAAGAGCAGTCACCAGCTGGCCAGCTAAATAAAGACTCTTTGATTTGGACAAAACTGGCACTTGGTGTGCTTTCTGAGTGACCTGCCCCACAACACACGGAGATGTAAGTAAATAAAATCATTTCCCTTCCCTTATAGCTTAAGTTATACAATATTATCATATAAATTATATCTAAAGGGTATTAAGAGAAAACCCTGTGTTTTTATGAGGAACTCTGCAAGATATTATACAAACCACTCTGATAGTCTTCTCTGGAAAACAAGGAGGGCTACCCACTGAAGGGTAGGAGACATAAAATATCCAGCTCCCCCCACCATAAATGTGGTCCTTGTTCTCCCTCAGCTAAGAAACAAAGTACAGGAAGAAAGATACCTGTCCTGAAGAAGTGGAGGAGTACATTAAGCTGGAGGAGTGGGCAACAAGATCCCCCACTCTCCATCATATCTGTTACAGGCAGAGGACGTCAGAGGCAGCTATTCCTAACAATTTTCCACGTAGCAAATTCAAAATACTTTCTCCAGTTGTTATTTGATGCAGGTAAACAGAGATGATACTGGTATTTTGCTGCTAGAGAGGCTTTCCATGGAGGGCAGTGTTGAGGTAAGGTGGAAAAGGTGCATAATCATACTGCAGAGTATCTCAGAATAGATCAACTGCATCAACACCCCCCTCTGCTTTATGCTAGACCTGGCAGGTATTCTATTCTCTCATTTATCTACTCCACCTGTCTGAACCATTCCCATCCCACAAGGACCATTGCCAAGCCTTCCACAACCCAGCTTCAGAAAGGAGACAAGACTGACAACATGCTCTCTAACCTCACAATTCCCATAGTGCTTATTTTCACTTCTCAGCTGATCTCTACTAGTATGTATTTCTTGTCTCTCTAACAAGACTATACTAATTATGACTATATTTAAAAAAAAAAAACAGTAACTATATTTCAGAGAAAAAGCAACTTAATGATAATGCATCATACTTTTTCAATTTCCTCTTAGAACTTAATTCTTTACATGGTATACAATGATTCAAAAGACTACGTTAACAAATAATTATAGTGGTCTACTCCATAATTGCATTGTACTGTCAGAAATTCCCCTTGAGAAGTTTATACTCATATCCTTCACTCTGGAAAATAAGGAATGCCATCCCTCTATATGGCAGGAGGCAGGAAGCAGAAAACTCCTTTTCCCCCAGCTAAGTAGCAAGTATGGAGGACATCTGCCTTGAAGGTGTGGGCAATTGTCTTCTTAAAGATAAGGTAGCTCCCTTTTCAGAGGAATAAAGGCTGGGAGTGCAGCTCAGTGTTAGGGTGCTTGCATAGTAGGCACAAGGCCTCAGGTTCAATACCCAGTACCACAAAAAAAAAGGCGGGGGGGAGTAAAAGAAAGAAATCTATCACTCCTGTATATCTCCACCAGATGCAGGGACTATGAAAGACTTCACCTAACATCTCATGTCCCCTGACACCATCCCTCTCTAATACCAAGGCACTCATCCACCCTGAAGTGCCTATAAATTTCATAACACAATTCTATGAAACAGAGGAAAAATCTCTCACCAAGACCCAAACTTTTCTGCTACAGAAATTCTCTCTCAGAGTCGGCCATAAAAATCATAGGTTTCCCTAATGGACAGAGTGGGAGAAGAACAAAGATGACAATCCATAGGAATTTAACTGCACATGGGCAGGCATGGTCTATGAATCCTGTGGATGCCAGTCATTCGGAGAACATTAGAGTGCTTCAGAAAGTCAGCAGCAGCACAGGATGATCAGTGATGCAGAAGGAGCAGACTCCAAAGCTAAAAGAACTACAGGGCTTCAGGCAGCAATATAAGAAGCCCTCATGGCTAGAGATTTCTGCTGACATTAATCATGAAGGGTCATGCCAGGAAAAGACCTGACTTCCTGCTATAAGTAAGTAGAGCACTGACATTTCAGAGACTCCTTTGTTCAACTAAGTAGATATTGTTTGAGACACACTAGATAGATCTCTCTTTGAAAGACATACTAAAATGTTCTCAGGAGTCACCTCTGGGCAGTTTTTGTTTTCTCCTTTATATATCTGTCTTAAATTTCCACCAAGAAATAAAAATCTAAAACATAAAGAATAAAGCTGAGGGGCTGGGGATGTGGCTCAAGTGGTAGCGCGCTTGCCTGGCAGGAGTGCATCCCGGGTTTGATCCTCAGCACCACATACAAAAACAAAGATGTTGTGTCCGCCAAGAACTAAAAAAAAATATATTAAAATATTCTCTCTCTCTCTTTCTTTCTCTCTCTCTCTTAAAAAAAAAAAAAGAAGAAAGCTGATTTCTAAGAATAAAAATTAAAGGCCAGGTGGGGTAGTGCATGCCTGTAATCCCAGTGGCTTGGGACACTGAGGCATGAGGATTCCAAGTTCAAAAAGCAACTAAGTCTTAGCAACTTAGTGAGGCCCCCAGCAACTTAGTGAGAACCTGTCTCAAAACAAAAAATTTGAAAAAAGGGATATGGTTTAGTGGTTAAGCACCCCTGCACTCAATCTCTGGTACAAAAAAAAAAAATTAAAGCTATAAAAAAAAAAGAAAGCATTAAACCATATTTGGGAAAATAATTTAATTTTAAATGAAAGATTTATTTGGGAGGGGGAACCAGAGATTGAACCCAGGGGTACTTAACCACTGAACCACATTGGCAGCCCTTTATTTATTCATTCATTCATTTATTACTTATTTTTGAGACAGAGTCTCAACAAGTTGCTTAGGGCCTCACTAAATTATAAATTGCTGAATTTAGCTTTGAACTTGTGATCCTCCTGCCTCAGCCTCCTGAGTTGCTGGGATTACAGGTGTGTGCCACCATGCCTAGCTTAAATGAAAGATTTCTAAGAAAAAGAGGAAACTGGTAACAGGTTTCAGCTGTTTTCCTACAAATACAAAACACAGACACTATCACAAGACAGCTATTTTGCAAAGTGAACAAAAAACAATCAATCAGTACCTCAATCACTTTGGAATCAAGTAAGAACAATAGTACTGGATGGGAAAAAAACGCAATAAAAAGTGAAGATCAACCAAAAATTAAATTTATAATTCACTGTAATTTACCTTTTTTGGAAATTTCCCAAGAGATATGTATTGGAACTATGAAAATAGAATTTATTTCTAATTCCTTCCAGCGTGAAATCCTGAACCCAGGCAATTGTAAGCAGCAGTCCTTATTCTTTTCTTGCCATATTTGAAGCATACATTGATGTCTTTTCATGTTTATATCATTCTTCCTACTGCAACAGAAATAAGCACATGATATAAAGGTTAAAGATATTGAAAATAAGATAAAGGAAAACATGTTAGCAATTAAAACTACAATATTATAGGCAGAAAGATATGCATAGATTTAAATACAATGTAGTGTATTGGTACATACCTGCAATTTCAGTGACTCAGAAGGTTGAGGCAGGAGGATTCCAAGTTCAAGGTCAGATTTAGCAACTTAGGTACATACTGATGTGAAATAAAAAAAGGAATAGAGATGAGGCTCAGTAGTAAAACACCATTCAATCCCCAGTACCAAAAAAAGAAAAAAAAAAGTATGATGTAGTGGGAAGAGTAGTGAGAACATTTCTTTTTTTTTTCCTACTAATAAAAACCAGAACTCACTGTTAACCAGTTAACTTTAACCTTGAAAATCACTCTAAAAACTTAGCTGAAGGTCAAAACTTCAAGTAGCAGCATAACTGAAAAAATATAAACCAAAGATAAAAACTCCAAATATTATTTTTCTTAAAGACTACATAATTATGTAGTTCAACAATCCATTTTCCCACTATAGAAAACAACAGGTATTTTTATAAATTTTTAAATAAAAGTTGTAATTCAAGGAATCTAAACTTGAGCAGTCTTGTTTTCAAATCTTTGTATAATGTTAGAACTCTACTTATTCATGCTTTATTTTTATGTGCAAAGGACAAGCAAAAACCAAAATGTAGTCAGGCATGGTGGCACATACCTATAATTCCAGCAACTAGGGAGGCTGAAGCAGGAGGATCACAAATTCAAGGCCCGTCTGGGCAATTTAGTGAGACCCTTCTCAAAATAAAAATAAACAAAACTGAAAATATAGTAAAGGGATACAGTGCCCTTGGGTTCAATCCGTAGTATTGGGAAAAAAAAATAAAAAAGCAAAATGTAGAATCTGTCTTGCAGGTAGAACCCAGTATTTATTGGGATTATTCTGCCAAATTCTGATTAAGACTGTTTTGAAGTCTAAGACATATATTAAGCAATCTTTCTTTAGTATTTGTAGTAACAGCCATAGAATGACTTTCTATCCCAATTTCACAAGAGAATTACCAGTGGTTGCTCACATTACTAGGAATAATAAATGTCAATGACATAAATGAAATACCTGAATTAAACACTAAACAAAGAAAATTTGACAAGAACACCACCCTCTGGAGAGGTCACAAAGACAATATATTACTAGATAATTGCACCTCTCAAGTCTCTAAAATGATCCCTATCCTAAATATTCTGACCTATTATCCACATAAATGTAATTCACTAGTTAGAGCAAGTACCTGGAATTTTAATTCAGAATGTATTCTCCCCTACTTATGAGACACAAGCAGAGGTTTACATGGAATATAACCAAACATAAATGGTTATATTTCAAATTTCCCAAAGAGCAGCTGTGTTTCATCTAGAAAGAATGGAGACCTATCCAGGACCATAATATTGATTAGTCAATCAGAGAGTGTTAATTTTCAATAAAGATTAAGCAAGGGAACTTTGGATTGTGCAGAGGGGAGTGAGGGGAGGGGAAGGGATCTGGGGATGGGAAGGCAGTGGAATGAGATAGACAGTATTACCCTATATACATGTATGATTACTCTTCCAGTGTGACTCTACACCAACCTCAGCCAGAAGAAGTTGTGCTCCATTTGTGTATAATGGGTCAAAATGCATTCCACTGTCATTTTTAAAAAATTTAGAAAAATTAAGGAAGGAGGGTAATGTGTAGAATTTGTTTCCACAGATTCCACTTCTTTCATGTACCTTCCTCCCCACCTCATATGCCCAGTGTTGATGTATCCACAGAGATTATGTGGCAGGTAGAGAAGTAACCAAATTAAATAAGTCTCATAGTAATAAGTGCTATAAGAAAAAACTAGGGCATTTGGTAAGTCATGGCCTCAACCCTGCATGCACATTAATAATTATTATGGAAGCTTTTTAAAACACCAATGCCTGGGTCCCACTCACCCAATTACATCAGATTCTGTAGGAGTAGTTAAGAAACATTAAAAAAAAAAAAGGTACCCTGATGATTAATTATAATGTACAGTCAAGTAGGGGAACCACTAGTATAGGTTGGATCAGTTGGTGAGGGATGGCCTTTCTGAAATGAAATTGAATTGTAACTTATCTTGCCCTCTCAAGACACTCGGATCCCCAGGCAATGAAGGTAGCAATCCCTACTTTAGTGATCTATCCCTTCTTTTCATTTCTCCATAACAAATAACAATACTTTATCAGCCCCAGAGAGAGACTGTCAGGAAAATAGACATTGATAAGGTGTAATAAACACAGTCAAAGGGAAACAGAACCCAAATACTATGGAGGAATAGTATGTGCTTCCTCCACTAAGCAGAATTAGACAATTATCAGGATGTAGGAGTCCTGCCAGATTCAAACACACCCTCATGTTCCAAATGATAATTAAAGGCAGTGAGGAGGGGTAAGGCCCACTAGAGCAGTGTGATTCCTTATCTTTGGGCAATGTGGCAGCAATCCCCCTTTAGCATAATGAAAAGCAAGGAAAATTTTACAATTTCATAAAACGTTGCATAATCCTTCCAGAGAATTGTCTTCACCGCCCCTGGCCTTGGGTCAAGCAGAGATGGGCCATAGGCCAGGGTCTCCACATTATCCTTGAGAAGTCACACTCCACATTTGACCCAAATCTGATGTCCCAAAACTGCAGCTCAGTAATGTGAGAGCAGTCCACTGTGTGACAGCACCACTGGCCAAGAGGCAGCTGGCTGGTACTCAAAGCAGCGATGAGACTGGAGACAGGGGCTGACCTAGTGGCATCGCCTAGCACGCCGCATCGGGGAGGGGTCGGGAGAGAGGGTCTGAGCTGCGTTTTCCAGGTCAGGACACCGCGCTGCCACAAGAAAGACCGCTGAAGATGGGGCTACTCATGCCCCATCCCGCCCCTCCCTACCGCGGTGCCGGTTCCTGTGGTGCGAGGCTGCGGCAGCCCGGGGCTCCAAAGCTGCCTTCCCGTTCGGCCCGGGCCTCAACTTCCTGGCCCCAGCGCTCTCAGCCGGGACCCCCAAGGCTGCACCTCCTGTGCACCGGGCCAGGGACTACGGAGCCAGAGAGCGCGGAGGGAAGGGCTCCGTAGCCCAGAAGTGCTCCTGAGAAGCCAAGCGCGGGTCGCTCCGAGAGCTGGGACCTCGCACATAGTCCGCAGCCCTGCACTCACCTCTGGGTTCCACCGCACCCCATTTGCTCCCCAGGGGAGGGTTCCTGACACCGGGGTTTGCTCGGCAGCGCCAGGCCGTTCACCCCCTGCTTCCTGACCCAGCAACGTCTCCTCACCCCCGACCCCCGGCTTCTATTGGTCGAATTCCTCCGTGGGCGGGCCTAGGATGTTGATTGACATCCAAGCGTGCGGAGCCCAGAGCCTTGAGGCAAGCACGCGGAGTTGGGGCTCTTTTACCTTGGAGCCACTAGGCTCCAGCGCACTAGGTGACCCTGCAGCTTTTGGTCTCCTGCCAGCGGTGGGTCTGACCCCTTTGGCAACCCAATTCTTTTTTTTTTTTTTTGCGTTTTATTCTAATTTGTCATACATGACAGCAGAATGCATTTCAATTCATAATACACAGAGCACAATTTTTCATGTCTTTGGTTTTTCACAAAGTAGAGTCACACCATTTGTGTCTTCTTACATGTACGTAAGGTAATGATGTTCATTTCATTCCACCATTTTTCCTACCCCCATGCCATCTCCCTTCCTCTCCCTCCTCTTTGCCTTATCTAAAGTTCCTCCGTTTTTTCCATGCTCCCCATCCTGTCCCTATTATAAATCAGTATCCTTTGTGTATAAATGCGACATTTTTTTTATCCATTCATCCATTGAAGGGCATCTAGGTTGGTTCCACAGTCTAGCTATTGTGAATTGTGCTGCTATGAACATCGATGTAGCAGTGTCCCTGTAGCATGCTCTTTTTAGGTCTTTAGGGAATAGACGGAGAAGGGGAATAGCTGGGTCAAATGGTGGCTCCATTCCCAGCTTTCCAAGAAATCTCCATACTGCTTTCCAAATTGGCTGCACCAATTTGCAGTCCCACCAGCAATGTACAAGTGTACCCTTTTCCCCACATCCTCGCCAGCACTTGTTGTTGTTTGACTTCATAATGGCTGCCAATCTAACTGGAGTGAGATGGTATCTTAGGGTGGTTTTGATTTGCATTTCTCTGACTGCTAGAGATGGTGAGCATTTTTTCATGTACTTGTTGATTGATTGTATGTCAATGGAGTATTACTCTGCATTAAAAAATGACAAAATCATAGAATTTACAGGGAAATGGATGGCATTAGAGCAGATTATGCTAAGTGAAGCTAGCCAATCCCTAAAAAACAAATGCCAAATGTCTTCTTTGATATAAGGAGAGTAACTAAGAACAGAGTAGGGTCGAAGAGCATGAGAAGAAGATTAACATTAAACAGGGATGAGAGGTGGGAGGGAAAGGGAGAGAGAAGGGAAAGTGCATGGAAATGGAAGGAGACCCTCAGAGTTATACAAAAGTACATACAAGAGGAAGTGAGGGGAAAGGGAAAAATAATACAAGGGGGACAAATGAATGTCAGTAGAGGGGGTAGAGAGAGAAGAGGGGAGGGGAGGGGAGGGGGGATAGTAGAGGATAGGAAAGGCAGCAGAATACAACAGACACTAGTATGGCAATATGTAAATCAATGGATGTGTAACTGATGTGATTCTGCAATCTGTATATGGGGTAAAAATGGGAGCTCATAACCCACTTGAATCAAATTGTGAAATATGATATATCAAGAACTATGTAATGTTTTGAACAGCCAACAATAAAAAATTAAAAAAAAAATTAAAAAATAAAAAAATAAATCAGTATCCTTATATCAGAGAAAACATTCAGCATTTGGTTTTTGGAGATTGACTTACTTCACTTAGCATAATATGCTCCAACTCCATCCATTTACCTGCAAATGCCATGATTTCATTCTCTTTTAATGATGAGTAATATTCCATTGAGTGAATATATATATATATATATATATATATATATATATATATATATATATATCACAGTTTCTTTATCCACTCATCTACTGAAGGGCATCTAGGTTGGTTCCACAATTTAGCTATTTTGAATTGTACTGCTATAAACGTTGATATGGCTGTGTCCCTGTAGTATGCTGTTTTTAAGTCCTTTGGGTATAAACTTAGGAGTGGGATAGCTGGGTCAAATGGTGGTTCCATTCCCAGTTTTCCAAGGAATCTCCATACTGTTTTCCATATTGGGTGCATCAATTTGCAGTCCCACCAGCAATGTATAAGTGTGCCTTTTTCCCCACATCCTTGCCAGCACTTATTGTTGTCTGTATTCTTAATAGCTGCCATTCTGACTGGAGTGAGATGAAACCTTAGAGTAGTTTTGATTTGCATTTCTCTAATTGCTAGAGATGTTGAACATTTTTTTTTATTTTTATTTTTTAATGTTTATTTTTTTAGTTTTCGGCAGACACAACATCTTTGTTTGTATGTGGTGCTGAGGATCGAACCCGGGCCGCGCGCATGCCAGGCGAGCGCGCTACCGCTTGAGCCACATCCCCAGCCCGATGTTGAACATTTTTTCATATATTTGTTGGTTGATTGTATATCATCTTCTGAGAAGTGTCTGTTCATTTCCTTGGCCCATTTATTGTTTTTTTTTTTTTTTGGTGTTAAGATTTTTGGTTTTTTTTTTAATATATCCTAGAGATTAGTGCTGTATCTGATGTACATGTGGTAAAAATTTGTTCCCATTCTATAGGCTCTCAATTCACCTCACTGATTGTTTCTTTTGCTGAGAAGAAGTTTTTTAATTTTAATCCATCCCCTTTATTGATTCTTGATTTTAATTCTTGCACTACAGGAGTCTTATTAAGGAAGTCAGGGCCTAAGCTGACAAGATGGAGAATTGGGCCTACTTTTTCTTCTATTAGGTAACCCAGTTCCTTTTGACATCACCATTTCCCTGAAGCATTGGCCTCAAGGCTTTTTTGTGTCCTCAAAATGACCACAACCAGAGATAACCCTGCTTAGGCTGTCTTTCTTGTGCAGTGGTGGAATTTATTGTTCTGTGTACCAAACACACACAATTTATTAAGTATAGAGATGGCAAGACCTTGAATCTTTCCTTGCTTTGAAGTTAATCGACTTTTATTCACACTTGAAGCCATCCTGTTCTTTTTACTCTCACAATATATGACGCAGGTCTCCTGGCAAAAAATACCAGAATCTTCTTTGCCCTTCAATTCTCAGTTATCCTGTTTTGAACATTATTCTAACCGTGAAACATCAGCAGCAGTTGTGTGAAATTGAGGAACTGAATCAGATGCACTCTCAGGAAGCTGGAAGGAATTGCTGGCTTCTTAGTTTCTCAAAAGTGCTCAGAGCACAGTGGTGTTATCACAGCAAAACACAAGTTCAAAAAGTGTCCCGCCCCCAGACTGTTATCCCACGGTTGAAGGAGAAGAATTAATATAAATTACAACTGATCTTATTTTTTTCATATATTGATCACAGTGGACTCGATGTGCTCATTCAGATGTTTTCATGGCAGCCCTACATGCATGAATAACCAGACTCATGAATGGAATAATGGGTAGCTCTGCCCTAACTTCTAGAGTAACAATTTCATTCTCCTTTCTGGAGGAAATAAAGCTTTCCAAGGCCTTTTGTAGTCATAAAAGGTAGCTTCCATGTCTCTGTTCTTAAAGACCCTCTGCCCCAGGCTGAACTTCTGCTCTGATTAAGCTTTATCTCCCAATAGGTGAGCCCAGTCTTCACAGTTTGGCTCACAAGTGGCAAATACTTAGACATGAGGATTTGGGATTCATTGACCCCATTCACTCAGAGGCACTCATCACCCAGAAGCATTTGTATGAAAAGAGGAAGAGCCTCAGAATGAGCTAAGAGGAACTTCTCTGTACATTTAAAATAAATGAGGCCTTTGAGTAATCGTGCACATATTTTACAGTTATAGTCTCCCAAAAAGCAGTCAGGGCAAAAAGACCTGTCCATCTCTACTCGATTCTTAAAAGACTTCTCACTGCAAAGTCATCACACTTCCAACTCAGCACATCCAACACAGAATTTATTTCTCTTAGGAAATAGACTGTGGGTATTAAGGGTCGATAAGTAAAAGCAAATTAAGCCCATTTCTGATGCAGCTATTTTGGGATAATTCACTAGCAAATCTGGCTCCATCTCTGATGGCAGAAGCTTGGGGTACAGTGCTCTGGAACCTAAGTCAGTTCTTAATTTGGTGCCTTTGCTTCCTCCCTTTGAGCAAGTGATGAGTTTGCACCCTGGGGCTGGGGTTGTGGCTCAGCAGTAAAGTGCTCACCTAGCAGGTGGGAAGCCCTGGGTTTGATCCTCAGCACCACATAAAAGTAAATAAAATAAAGGTATTGTGTCTAACTACAAATAAAAAATAATTATTTAAACTAAATAAATAAAATAAAGATACTGTATCCAGCTACAGCTAAGAAATAAATATTAAAACAAAAAAAGTAAGCATCCGGCATAACATTACATACTAACCACTAATTCCAAAAACATGATGAACCATAATGAACCAGTGCACAGGAAGAGGTATTTGGTGCCACTACTGTGTTGTTTCATGCCCTCAAATTAAGGGACAGATTTTCTTCTTTTATTTAAATATATTTTTAATTGATACAAAAAAACATAGAACATAATAACTGTATGTATTTATGGGGTACCATATGATGTTGCAATACATGTATAGAATATGTAATGCTTAGATCAGGTTAAATGTGTCTATTTTCCTTTTTTTTTTTTTTTTTCCGTACCGGGGATTGAATTCAGGGGCACTTGACTACTGAATCACATCCCAGCCCTATTTTGTATTTTAATTAGAGACAGAATCTCACTGAGTTGCTTAGTGCCTCACCATTGCTGAGGCTGGCTTTGAACTCCTGATTCTCCTGCCTCAGCCTCCGGAGTCACTGGGATCACAGCATGTGCCATTGAGAGCCGGGCCTTTTTTTTTTTTTTTTGGAGACAAGATGTCACTAGGTTGTCCAGGTTGGCCCTGAACACACAATTTTTCTTCCTCAGTCTCCCCAGTAGCTGCAGCTACAGGTACAGGCCACTGTGCCCAGTTATTTTCCTTTTCTGAACTTATAATTGATGATAGGTAATTGTACATATATGGGTTGGGGAGATACTAGATTTTTTTTTCCTGCTCTTTATTTCTCCAGCTCAAATCAAATTCCACTGATAATCAGAATAACATCAGTAAATAGATAGAGCATTTGTTAACATGCATGAGGCCATGGGTTCAATACCCAGTGAAGGATATAAAATAACAACCCTCAGGAATAA